ATAATTTTTGAAAATTAGTTAAGAGTGCCAAGCCCTGTTTGCCACCCAGTACGTATCAACAATATAACAAATTCTAGCCTGGAAAACTATCGCTTTGAAAAGTTTCAAAAATATCAAGCAAGATCACCTCTATTTCACTGAAGAACCAACAGGGACGTATTAGGAAAAACTTAAACAATTTTTGTTTTTTTAGCGTTGCGCCAACTTTGCCATTCTGTAACTTTACAACATTCACAAAATTCCACTCTTAAAAGCTGTTGCCTCCTTGAAACTGGGCCCAAATGTAAAGTAATTTCATTCTAACTGATATTCAACACCTGCAGGGCCGTACCTGGAAAATTCAAAAATAAAATACATTAATTAAGTTGGTTAGCAGTGCTTAAAACACGTTTGCAATGCACCAATTTTCCCAGATCTTCCAAAACCTAATCTGTCATCCCTTTGAATTTTTTACAATTTGTTAAGGAAGGTTACTTTTAAGTGCAAGTTTAAACCGCAGAGTGGTTTTAGGTCCGCTGGGAAAACTATAATGAAATTAATTTTTTATCACTACTGAGCCAACAATCTTCAAAATTTCATAAAATTTGAATCTGAAAGTCTATCGTTTTGATGATTGAGCAAATGTGACGTAAACCAGCGCTACTGTAAACGAAAAGCTGCGGAGCTCTACCATATCGCATTAAAAAAGACATTTTGTAAATTGGGACCAATACGTTCCTGAGCGCTCTTTGCCTAGGAATTTTAGCCAGAAAAGTTATCACATTGAAGAATTTTCTCATATATATGAAAAAAATTTTACTTGGTTCCCAGACAGCACAACACGTCTCTAAGACGTCTTTTTTATGCCGTTATTATGTCTCCACTCTTAGATAGCAATAACTCATTTAAAGAAAAGTTGACAGCATAACATAAACATGGCACACTGCTTTAAATGAGATATTAAAACTAGTACAACATATTTGTCAAGATTTGCCTTTGGGTTAGTTTGGGTTAGAACCTGGCTTCAAACAGTCAGGTCTGTTGAACTAGAATCAGTGATTCACGGACATTACTACTTTTCACTTACATCATTTTGGTCTAAATAATTGTCTCAACAGTATTTTTAACAGTTTGAATGTTTATTTCTTAGGTTCAGCGGAACAATCAGGGTTGGGAAAATCTGTCAAGAAGATGGCATCCAACGTTGGATACTCAGAGCGCCTGATAGACAAAATATAAAAAAAATAGTAAACTATAAACTTGTCATTTTATTTCACATTTCCATTAGCAAAACATATTGTGGACCTGGTAACACCCTTAAGTAATCTCTTCAAGACGTCTTTAAGAAGTCTCTTAAAGACGTCCATTGTTGTAACAACCAATGTCTTTAAGACGTCTTCAAGACATATTACGACGTCTTTAAGACGTCCCACATATCTTAATTAGGCTAATAGAATCTTAAAGACCTCTTTAAGATATCTTTGTGCTGTTTGGGTTGGGACCAAAACACATTTCACACTTTCCTTGACAGTGTTGACCCAACTTTGCCTTCCACTAATCTATAAAAGTTCACCAGGAACCAAAATCAAATCGGCCCCATTCAAAAATAAAACGACGTTTATGTGTGGGTGGTCTGAACGAGCGAAATACAGCTTGACATTTTACAACCAGAAGAACTGGAGGAATTGGTGCGTAACGTATCTACATGTACTTATTTTACTTATTTCTTCTGGGCCTTTCAAACATCGAATACTTCCTTAATGTCTGGCAGATATACAAACTGATCTGGTTTAAATTAAAGTATTCACGCAAGCAGATCGTTGTTTACTTAAGGTTTCTTATCCGGGCGCTCATCCATTAACCAAGCAATTAATTTATGATTGTTGGCTTCGAAGGACGGTCATTACCCTAAATGCAAAAACAATACAGCGGCAATTAAACTGTTAAGAATCATTAGCACATTTATCGTTTCATGTTCAATGAGGCCCGAAATCACAGCTTCTGCGCTGTTCCAGTTTGGTAAGGTAAATATTCTTCCTTATTTGTTGCCGAATGCAGAACATTTTCGTTGATTGATTATCGATAAATGTATTAATTCCAAGAAGTAAGTAGGCCAGAAAAACATTTCTTGCTTGTTGTTTGTTGGTACTGCCTGAGCCTGACTTTTACCACTCAATGAATTGCGGGTGTGGTAACACATTTGTAAATTATACAGCATATTGAAATTAGATGCTATTTTATGGTTATTCTTCTGCTGCTCCTTGGACTGCAGTCTTCTATTCTTCAGTCAATAATTCTCTGCATACAAATGATTCGCAGAAAATACAATGACTTACGTCCGAAGGTAAGTTCTATATGGTTACAGCGGTTCTTGCTCATATTTACTGGATCAATTCATCTGTTGCTAAACGAATGTAGAACGTTTCATAAAAATTGTAACTTTTCTAGATATTGCAAAGCGTAACATAGAATCAGCCCTGTGCTGTATCATAAATGCTATTTTTAACGTCCACACGTTATGGCGACTTAACAGTTCAGGATAACATTTTCGATAACGCAGCAACTCAACCGAGGTGTGCTATATCTCCGAGTTAACGTATGCGTTTTTGTCCCAGTTATCCATCAAACGTTAAAAAGGAAAAAAATATAGGATGCATAAAGTGAGATGCCCTTATACGAATAGTCTATTAGTTAGAGAGAGAGTTAACATCAAACCATCGAAGCCTCTAAAACATATGCACCGCCACCACATGTGCACGTTTTGACCATTTGGGTTGCCTACTACCCTACATGTCTTTGTTTATGATTTGCATTCGCTTTCAATTTCGTTTGTTATTGTTCTTGACCTATCTTCTCAAACACTTTCAATGGAGCATGTACAGAAGAAAAAAAAAACAACCCGCAAACAATTTGAAAATTTAGTAGAGTTTGTGGACAAAAATAAAGTTTATTTTCAAGACCATTT